GAATTGATGAGGGAAAAAGAGTGAGTGGTGCACTTAGGAGTCTGTGGAGACAAAGAACTTTGTCCTTGGAGGCCAAAGAGGGGAATGTATGAGAGTATAGTTTTTACCAACGCTCTTATATGGGTGTGAAGCGTGGGTGATGAATGTTGCAGCGAGGAGAAGGCTGGAGGCAGTGGAGATGTCATGTCTGAGGGCAATGTGTGGTGTGAATATAATGCAGAGAATTCGTAGTTTGGAAGTTAGGAGGAGGTGCGGGATTACCAAAACTGTTGTCCAGAGGGCTGAGGAAGGGTTGTTGAGGTGGTTCGGACATGTAGAGAGAATGGAGCGAAACAGAATGACTTCAAGAGTGTATCAGTCTGTAGTGGAAGGAAGGCGGGGTAGGGGTCGGCCAAGGAAGGGTTGGAGGGAGGGGGTAAAGGAGGTTTTGTGTGCGAGGGGCTTGGACTTCCAGCAGGCATGCTTGAGCGTGTTTGATAGGAGTGAATGGAGACAAATGGTTTTTAATACTTGACGTGCTGTTGGAGTGTGAGCAAAGTAACATTTATGAAGGGATTCAGGGAAACCGGCAGGCCGGACTTGAGTCCTGGAGATGGGAAGTACAGTGCCTGCACTCTGAAGGAGGGGTGTTAATGTTGCAGTTTAAAAACTGTAGTGTAAAGCACCCTTCTGGCAAGACAGTGATGGAGTGAATGATGGTGAAAGTTTTTCTTTTTCGGGCCACCCTGCCTTGGTGGGAATCGGCCGGTGTGATAAAAAAAAAAAAAAAATATATATATATATATATATATATATATATATATATATATATATATTATATATATATATATGTGTGTACTCACCTATTTGTGGTTGCAGGGGTCGAGTCCTAGCTCCTGGCCCCGCCTCTTCACCGGTTGCTACTAGGCCCTCTCTCTCCCCGCTCCATGAGCTTTATCAAACCTCGTCTTAAAACTGTGTATGGTTCCTGCCTCCACTACGTCATTTTCTAGGCTATTCCACTGCCTTACAACTCTATGACTGAAGAAATACTTCCTACTATCTCTCTGACTCATTTGTGTCTTCAACTTCCAATTGTGGCCTCTTGTTTCTGTGTCCCCTCCCTGGAACATCCTGTCCTTGTCCACCTTGTCTATTCCACGCAGTATTTTATATGTCGTTATCATGTCTCCCCTGACCCTCCTGTCCTCCAGTGTGGTCAGGCCGATTTCCCTTAATCTTTCTTCATAGGACATTCCCCTTAGCTCTGGAACTAACCTTGTTGCAAACCTTTGTACTTTCTCTAGTTTCTTGACGTGCTTTATCAAGTGCGGGTTCCAAACAGGTGCTGCATACTCCAGTATGGGCCTGACATACACGGTGTACAGTGTCTTGAATGATTCCTTGCTAAGGTATCGGAATGCTGTTCTCAGGTTTGCCAGGCGCCCATATGCTGCAGCAGTTATCTGATTGATGTGTGCTTCCGGAGACATGCTCGGTGTTATACTCACCCCAAGATCTTTCTCCTTGAGTGAGGTTTGCAGTCTTTGCAGTGTGTGTGTGTGTGTGTGTGTGTGTGTGTGTGTGTGTGTGTGTGTGTGTGTGTGTGTATATATAATTATATTATTAACACATCGGCCGTCTCCCACTAAGGCAGGGTGGCCCGAAAAAGAAGAGATATATGTAAAATGTGAAATAGCTAATATTTCTTTCCACTTCTGTAACAATGCCCAGCAGAGTCTGACAAAGACCCACCGTGACCTCTTTAATCCTGAATTTTGCACTACCGGGGGTGCACAATAAACTAGTCGCTCAGGCAGCACAACTAACGACCAGTCGGACTTAGAAGTGTCATCCATTGTGTGGGCGAGGTCTCGCTCCTGTCTGATCTTGGGTGTCAAATTTCCTTCGTTCTCTCAGGGATCAAAACCTTGGGGGCCCAGTCCCTGGACCCATTACGTACCTCTGTAATCTGTAAATACCTTTGTAACTTGTCATGATTGTGACCAGACTTACCTGGAGTTCATTACCTTTGTAAATTGTGAGTTCATTACCTTTGTAAATTGTGAGTTCATTACCTTTGTAAATTGTGAGTTCATTACCTCTGTAACTTGCTCAGCTATCAAAACTTTGGAGTCCAGTCCCTGGACCAATTATGTACCTCTGTAATCTTTTGACTACCGCCCACAGGATGGGTATGGGGTGCATAAACATATTAAACTAACTAACTCTCAGGGACGCTTGTGACCCTCACCTTATTTCGCCCGATGGGCGCATTACTGGAGTTATCTCAAAAACATTTAAGCATCTTATTATCACTAAAACATTAGTCATTATTGGATTGTAGTCTCTTCAAAAATAATTCATTCATCTAGTCTTTCTCTCTCTTTAGAGTCGATGTAAAATGTAGATACAATCAGGATTTCAAATATCTTATCATTAACAATGAAATGTTTGGCATATCCGAGGAGCAAGGCAAGGGACCCACCCGACCTAACTGAGAATTTTTTATTATATTTTTTTTCTGCAGTGGGAGATCCATGACCCGACTCACGAAATCGTAATGACAATTGCAAACAAACCATACCACGGGTGGAGTTTGAATCCGAGGTCAGAGTGTCTCAAAACTCTTGATTTAGTTGGATGAATCTTAAGTTAGTTGGTCCAGTGGCTAACGCGACGGTCTGGAGTTTTGAGACTCTGGAGTTTTGAGACTCTCTGCCCCTCAAGGAAGGTTCCTTGATGTTGGTGAGGGGCTCTTGATTTAGGGAATTGGATCTGTGCTCCAGTTCCCCGAATTAAGCCTGAATGCCTTCCACATCCCCCCCCCCAGGCGCTGTATAATCCTCCGGGTTTAGCGCTTCCCCTTTGATTATAATAATAATTGAGACTCTCTGACCGCGGGTTCAAACCCCCACCCGTGGTATGGTTTGATCCCTGACCCTTTACCTTCAATGGCCAGTTTTGAATTGTCTTCTCCCAAGCTTGGTGGTGTGTGGGCGTCTACCTCTCGTCTGGGATTGACGACAAATTTCTCCCGTTTGCATTTTATGTCACTGATATCGCCATTGTACATAAGCTGCCTTTGGTTATTGTTGACATTCATTGTTGCAACCTTCTTAGGAATATTAATTTCTTGAAGTGTATTTTCTTTAACCTGGTTGAGGTGACACTGTGTTAAGTAATGTCATGTAGCACTATTGTCAGCATTTTTATTAATAAGTCTTGTGTCTTTGGTGTTACTGTTTCACCCATGCTCGTATAATTACTAATTATGTTTATTCGTTAATATCAAGTTAAGGTGTGAGCATTCAGTTTGGTGATAAAGGTTATATATTATTTTGGGGGTGAGGGTAGGGTGGGGAATAATAGTGATAAAAGTTGTAGAATAATGTGTGGAGTGACAGGGTGTCAGACCACGTTTATGTCTGGTGTGGTTAATTTTGTGTAAGGGTTAATTAGGGATTCTTGTGATTTAACTCATTTTGTGTGCTTTTTTAATGACAGGATGGATAATGAGAACCTTCAAAACTAGGGAGGCCAAGCCCATGATGACACTCTTCAGGTCACTTGTTCTATCTAGGCTGGAATACTGCTGCACACTAACAGCACCTTTCAAGGCAGGTGAAATTGCTGACCTAGAAAATGTACAGAGAACTTTCACGGCGCGCATAACGGAGATAAAACACCTCAATTATTGGGAGCGCTTGAGGTTCCTAAACCTGTATTCCCTGGAACGCAGGAGGGAGAGATACATGATTATATACACCTGGAAAATCCTAGAGGGACTAGTACCGAACTTGCACACAAAAATCACTCACTACGAAAGCAAAAGACTTGGCAGACGATGCAACATCCCCCCAATGAAAAGCAGGGGTGTCACTAGCACGTTAAGAGACCATACAATAAGTGTCAGGGGCCCGAGACTGTTCAACTGCCTCCCAGCATACATAAGGGGGATTACCAACAGACCCCTGGCAGTCTTCAAGCTGGCACTGGACAAGCACCTAAAGTCAGTTCCTGATCAGCCGGGCTGTGGCTCGTACGTTGGTTTGCGTGCAGCCAGCAGCAACAGCCTGGTTGATCAGGCTCTGATCCACCAGGAGGCCTGGTCACAGACCGGGCCGCGGGGGCGTTGACCCCCGGAACTCTCTCCAAGGAAACTCCAGGTAATATCCACATTGTATTGTAAAGTTTTAAATAAAAAAAAACTGACATCGCCATACAAAGATGTCATAACATATTGCAATTACTGACCTTGTCACTTTCTCCATAGATATGTTTAGTTTGACACACTTCATTATGATGGATAATACAAGACACAAAAAAACTCTGATATACTTCGTGTCCGGCTCAACCTGTGTAAAAACTCCATGAGCATAAAAGGCCCTACAATCTGAAACTCCTTACTTGAGAATTTTTAAAGTCCCCTTTTTTACCAAACACTTCAAAGGTATTGTTAAAAAAAATCTCATTACCTTAATGTGATCTCGACAGCAATATGCCGTGTGAAGAAAAAAAAACCAAACCCAGCTGTTTTAATCCAATTCTGTCCATGTTCTTCTTCCAGCCTTCCTTAACCCACATAAATTATTTAAAACATTTATTATCTCAACATATTTATATTGTAATTTAAATAACTAGTACTACTCACGATGAACTTAACAATTATATCTTCCTATTGTGACATTTATTATGAATTAACTGAGTTTATTTTTAACTTGTGCCAGAGATGTTGTGCATTTTTAGAATTTCAGTTTATTGTACATCCTGTGTAGTAATGCTGACATTTAGATTAGTATCTGCATTTGTATTTGACCAACATTAACACTTCCACAAGTGTTAAAAGTCCAAAGAATCGTTCATGCAAAAAATTCTAGTTATAAGTTATTCTAAGGCTGCCCAAAATGCTCTGCATATCAGGGCTTTTCTGTAAACCATGTCAATAATATCACTTTTTTTCTGAACCAACTTTTTTTATAAAAATAAAGAATTTTACTTGGGGAGAGACAGGGTAGTACAGCATAAGCTGTCACTGGTCCTTATAAACCCAACAACAACAACACCAGCCATGTTTACGTCGCTTCAAGTCTGACTGATCCAATTCACTTACAACTCACAAATTTCATGTTTGTAATTAATATCTGCATTAGCTTTTAAAGTAGTAGATCAGACATACAAAAACTGGCAGGTGGCGAGTATTTTATAAAAGATAACTCGTCAGTTGTCACGATTTAAGGAATATTTACTCTGTAGTTGGGAACCAAAGCAATCATAGTACTAGGGGGATTATTATTATTATTATAATCAAGGGGGAAGCGCTAAACCCAGAGGATTATACAGCGCCTGGGGGGGGGATGTGGAAGGCATTCAGGCTTAATTTGGGAAACTGGAGCACAGATTCAATTCCCTAAATCAAGAGCCCCTCACCAACATCAAGGAACCTTCCTTGAGGGGAGTACTAGGGGGAGAGAGCACAACTTTGTAGTAGCCACAGTCATTGGCCAGGCTTCAAACACCTTTTATTGTACAGCAATAAAGGAATGGAACAGACTGCCCGCACATGTCAAAGCCAGTCATAGCATGAACCAGTTCAAGAAGAGTGCCAAAAGGTGTCTGATGAATGTAGCTACAGAAAGGGAGGGGAATGATTTTCTATTTTTTAGCTAACATACGTGTAAATTTTACCTTATTCCTAGTAATGACCCTCGTATTGTAGATAGTCTTAATGACCCTCGTGTAGTAGATAGTCTTTTTAGTATGATAATAAGATGTTATCTTCATTGTAGAATAATAAGAAAATATTATAACCTTTATATTATAATAATAAGGTAAAAGGACCCCAATGGAAATAAGTCACTCTGTCTGACTTTTTTGGGTTATCCTAGGTTCTCTACACATATGCTGCTATGTATGATAATTCTATGTAACTGTATTTGTGTATACCTGAATAAACTTACTTACTTACTTACTTATTAACCTGTAGGCCCCCAATCCAGGGTATTATCCATTGGCCTGTTAATGCAATACCTGCCCCTCAAGGGAGGTTCCTGGATGCTGGTGAAAGGTTCTTGATCATGGGAATTGGATCTGTGTTCCAGTTCCCTGAAATGAACCTGAATACCTTCCATCCTCCCACATGCGCTTATAATCCTACGAGTTTAGCACTCCCCATGATTATAATAAAATAATGCAATACCTGGTCATCCTTTGTTTAATCTACATAATATATTACACATGATCGCAAATATTAAACATGTACTTTCATGGTCATTGTAATTGTTTATATGTTTGCTATGTATTGATTAAATAACTAAAAACTTTAATTACAAGGTGGCAGCAGTACAAAAGATCGAGGTACATCACACAACTTTGGTAATAATGGAAGATCAGGAGATGCACAACACAATGGAAACAGTATGTATGATAGTTATATGTTGTATCTTCTACTTACCCTTCAATAATAATAATATAATATCTTTATTTCTACAAGTACATGTACAAGGTATATAGACCATAGCTGACATCAGTGACATACTACTGTATAGAAAGCTGGTGTTATGCAGAGCATTTCCTGCAAATTGGGTCAGTTTTGTCCCAGGATACAACCCACACCAGTCGACTAACACCCAGGTACCCATTTAACTGATGGGTGAATGTAGACAACCGGTGTAAGGAAATACGCCCAATATTTCTACCCTCGCTGGGAATCAAACCCGAACACTCACCGTTTGAAGTGAGAGCTTTAGCCACCAGGCCATGGGGCCTGATCTGAAACTAGGCTGTGGGGAAAACAATACCCCCAGAACCATTAGCATAACTAAGTTTATTTAGGTACAGGTACACAGATTAGATTTTGCCACCGAAGTGGCTAGTTTATTGTGCACCCCATATCCATCCTGTGGACGGTAGCACAAGAGCATATGGATACACAAAAGGCCTAGGAACTAGGCCCCAAAAGGGGTTAACAGGTGTACATATGGATTTATATCTACAGTTCACTTATCTGTTACAAGCAAATTAGGAAATTTGCTTAGTATATCTGGTATCTTATTTTCATTAATAAGATATCTCGACATGTCACATAGGTTATTATACTGTCTATCTCTGCATTTATAGTTTCACAAATTTAGATAATTACAATCATGCATAGTAACATATGGGTAAATTACCTAGGATAACCCAAAAAAGTCAGATAAGGTAAGATTAAGATAAGATTTGTTCAGATTTTTAACCCACTGGGTTAGCAACCCAGAATAACCCAAGAAAGTCAGTGCATCATTGAGGACTGTTTGTCTTATTTTCATTGGGGTCCTTCAGTCTTGTCCCCCAGGATGTGTCCACACCAGTCGACTAACACCCAGGTACCTTCTTACTGCTAGGTGAACAGGGACAGCAAATACATATAAGGAAATATACCCAGCATTTCCACCAGTGTCGGGGAATGAACCACGAACACTCAATGTGTGTGCCTAGAATGTTGCCAATCAAGCCACAGAACTTATTTCCATTGTGGTCCTTGTAATATCTTATTATTTAAAGCCTGGTTGTATGATTCAGTAGAAAGTAGTCATAATTATAGTATAACCTTAAAAATTAAAATGGCTAAATAACCTAACTGTGTGAAAATCAGTTGCACCTATTTTTACTGTTAGGATGAAACAGGTGAAGAGATTTTGGTTAAAGGAATTAGAGCTACCCTCCTTTTCCCTAGATCAAATGAGTCTGCCTTCCATTCCCCAGGTGGTGTATGATCCCTATGGGTTTAGCACTTTTCCTTGAATATAAAAATCTGCAGCATCTTTATTACTGTCATCTGATCCTCTCTTTAATGTTAATGTAAATAACTCAGTTTACCTTATTCCTAGTATATCTCCTTTTATTGTAACTGCTTTTCACACAGCTGTTTTAACTTTAAGGTTTAAATAATAAAATATTACAAGAATCCCAGTGGCAATAAACCACTTTTTCTGACTTTCTTGGGGCATTGTCATATGCTGCTATGTATGATAATTTATGAAACTGTATTTATGTGTACCTGTCCATGAATAAACTTACTACAGGACCCTTCAAGGGAGGCACTTTAATACTTCTAAAGAGATCTTGTTCCAAAGAGTTGAAGCTTCCCTCACTTTTGTTGGACTGAATCATGTTATCTTCCATTTCCCACGCACAGTACTACATAACCTTTATGGATTTAGCACTCCCCATTAACGTTAACAGAATGGAAAATGTAGCAGAGCGAGCATTTTTATTAGATGCCATTACACCCTTTACTGCTGTATCATGACTAGATGTGATAAAACCACATTTAGGGTGGAATATCAGCTAATGAAAATGTTCACTGTGCTATGTATGTTTTACATTCTGATCTTTATTACAATAAATAAACTAAATATGTAATGAGAATTAAGATCTTACCTGTAGTACAGTACTCCAGTGATAAGTCTTCACTAGATACATTAATTTATAATAAGACAGAAAGTTACTGAAAGTACAGTACCTTCATAAGTTGCTAAATTTATATAGGTATTTTTAATATTGTTACTTACCTACTGGCATGTTTGTGTTTATATTTTTTTATTTTGAATTTATTTTGCTTGTGTTTAATACCTTAAAAAAAGTTTCATATATCTAATATTTTTAATAGAAGAATAAACTTTCAAGGAAACTGGACTCTAGTTATCATAAAATATTATCCCAAGGACTCATAAAATACTGTAACTTGCAATACCAGAAAATATTCATCAAAAAGATGAACCAAATCCCCTAACTAAGACATGATACAGTGATGGCATTATTATAAATTTAAAACATGTTAATGAATTTAAATATATTGCAACTACAAACTAATTTGTTTTAAAAAGCTGTAAATGAGCAGTTCCATGTTTGGCAGTGATGAGAGACCACACACCCTCAAAATTCAGAAAAGAGCACACATGCACCACACACTAAAGAATTATCTCCTGGATTTATAATGTAACTAGCTGAAGAAGTTGAGCTGCATTTCCTGGATCTGTTACATGTAGTTAAACTATGATTCCTAGACCTAACATATGACAAGCTGAGAAATTGGTCTCTAGTTCTTGGACCTAGCTGTTTAAATACAGTATTACCTAGCAATTTAATTTATTTAATTTTTAGCATATTCACATGCAACTTTAGCAAAATATACCATCATTTTTGAAGTTTTGCTCACAGTGATTGTCTCACTTAACTGAAGAAATAAAATAGACAGGGGGCATTGGCCCCTGAAACCCTCTCCAGGTATACTCCAGAGTTTGTCATTCTTATTTTTAAGAATTAAAATCTTATTGTGCAGTTGAATGTCAACTTTAATATCCCACATCTAGTTGATATTCTTCAAACTTAATAAATAAATGCTGACATTACACCTCAATACCCCTCCAAACTGCAATATCTTCACCCCACAGCCAACCATCACTTGCATGAAATTCTGTATGCTAGCCTAATAGTAGCAGAGTGAAGATCATCCCAGTGAATGTTACCACTAGCAAAAAATTGTTGAATATTCCATTTATACTGCTTCAAACCTTGAGCTGTTTTCATATACTTCTTGGGACCAATTGATCAACTATTTTTTGTTTAACATTTGCACTATTCTTCAGAGCATAAAGTGTTTGTCTTTGCTGTTATGGATATCAGTCACTGTTTCTTTACACCATATTTCTCATACATGCGATTGAAATGGCAGACTCCACCTTTTTTATTAGTTAAAATTTCTGATTAACACAGATTCATGTACTTTTTGGCTCCACTGGCACTTGCTTTAGAGGTTACTGTTAAAAATGCTGTGTGTAATGGCTTAATAAAGTGGTTGAAAATGCTGTAAATCCAAAGACAAATTGGAGATCAAATGTCACCTCTACATGTGAATACGTACAGACAGTATCAAACTGAGGCTGTGTAGCCTATGGCACAAAAATGCCTGATGCAGTGGGCTTGGCCTGTTGTAGGGTGAGCTTACTGAACGCATCCACCAATGAACACATGCCCACCACAACAAACTTGATCTGGTAAATTGAGCCATAGTCTAACAAAATATTTTATCTGTTGCATCCACACTCCATTCAATAGGGAGCTGGAAAATTGAGGACTTACTATATTTTCATTGCTCTGAGCTGTATATCACAAACATGCCAGTGAAACGTGATCATCCTGTCTTTTCAGAGATAGTGCATACATATATTACCCATTATGTTGATTACTCCTTGCACCACTGCTCAGAATAATAATTTTTATTAAGAACAAATAATATTAATAACTGAGCCTCTCTTTGCTTTACAGGATAATTATGTGTGTGGAGAATGTTTCCAGCTCTTTCCCTCCATGGAGTACTTCAATTATCATCATTGTACTCCACTGAAAGATAGCACGTGTTGTGGACATAATGAACTCAGCTATATTGAGGAATCTTTAACATCCTTAGATGAAAAAGGTATGATTCTCGTTTACTTTCTATGCAACAATAAACCTTTCAAAATCACATTCTTTTTTCTTAATATTTTTATGAGCTGTTAGAAATTTGAGCTGTATAACTCTTGTGGGTTTAGCACTTAGTTTTTATTATATAATAATAATATTAAAAATTTGACCTAGGTAGTAGGTTGGTAAACAGCAACCGCCCAGGGAGGTACTACCGTCCTGCCAAGTGAGTGTACAATGAAAACCTGTAATTGTTTTACATGATGGTAGGATTGCTGGTGTCTTTTTTTCTGTCTCATAAACATGCAAGATTTCAGGTATGTCTTGCTACTTCTACTTGCACTTAGGTCACACTACACATACATGTACAAACATATATATACACACCCCTCTGGGGCTAGTAACCCCTTCTCCCATATAAATTACTAAATTTAAAAGAGAAACTTTTGTTTTTCTTTTTGGGCCACCCTGCCTTGGTGGGATATGGCCAGTGTGTTGAAAGAAAGAAAGAAAGAATTAAAAATTTGAGGAGTCATACATCAAACTTTTGCATGAAGACATATTGTTGGTAATTTAATAGAACAAATTGCAAGCCAAGATAATACATCTTTGTGTTTTAATCATGTAGAAGTTTTTTCTAATGTGATGGATGCAGGTAATGGTGACTACACTCTTGTAATGCATAAAATAATAGTTTTGTTATTGTAATATATAAATAATTTACCAGAAGAAATAACTGCTTATATACAAATATGTATGCAGATGTAAAACTCCTATAAAAAAAAAAACAAGAAATCAGAATGACTAAATCCTTACAAAGAAGTTCAGTAGAGTGTGCAAGTGAAATGCTAAATGGACAACACTATACTGTTCATAGCATTCATTAGATCCAAACTGGATTCTGCAACTGTAATGTTTGCTCCAGAGAACACTTGTAGATATATTAGAAAATGTACAGAAATGTGCTTGAAAGTGGCACCAAGCACTAATAAGGATAAACAGCAGAGGAAGATTGGCACTCTGACATTTGTCTTCAATGGTAAATAGAAAAGCTATGAGATGCTGTACGTGAAGTTTGTTGTAACATAAACAGGGCGAACAAGAGGTCATTATTGTAAAAAAAAAAAAAAAATGAGCTGTGAAAGAATGGTGAAAAGTCATTATACCAAAAGCGTTATGAAAGCGTGTCTCGTGAGATACATTTGTCTCACAAAAATCATTAATCTCAGGAAATATGTGTCCAAAATTTTCTGGCAGAGAAGAGGGAGATATTCAGGTTTAAGCTAAAGAAAGGAGAAATAAAAAAATAATCAGATGCCTTTACTGACATAATGGCATTGGCATCCACTGTGTTTAACTTTATTTGGTTATCCTAGGTTAAATCAACTTAATGTTCTTGTATGTGCCTGTGACATGTGTGTTCTCTCAAGACCATTGTTAAAAATTTATATAGTACAGTATTATGTTCACTAAGCGTACATAATGCGTACGTATTTACTTATTGTACTTGCTTTCTTAAAAGCTCGTCAGTCTTTCTTAGAGGAAAGTTTGGATTCATTTTGGTCTTTGTAGGTCTCAGTTTGCTTTTTTTTTTGGGGGGGGGGGAATTTGAAAAATGGAAATAATGCTTTTCATGCTATAATTTCTAAGTGTCGCATCTGATTAGCCTCAACCCTTCCATACTGATAACTTGATAATGCAACTTTTGAGTGGCTTCAAGCTTAATGTTCTTGTGTATTTTAGGATATTGGTCTCTGGTTTCCTTAAAAAGTTGGATTTAGATTTGAGCTGTGTATATCCTCATTTACCATTTTTATTGAAATCTGAATAATAGTTTCCATATGATTTGTAAATGCCTCATCTGATTCCCTTTAAATCTTCAGTGCTAATATTTAGCTGCATTATCAACTTAAGCCATATTCTCCAATGTTCCAGTCATGTGCATTAAGGCATGGGGGACTGCAGTTATGGAATAATGGGATACCTCCCTGGATCACTCAGCAACCAAAATACACCTAGTTTTGATTTATGTTCTTTCTGCTTGGATCACTGGTACTATATGCAGGTTTAATATTTCAGTTACAGTACCACTAATTCTAGTCCTTGGTATTTCTAATCTTAATGGTAATTCAGATGTGACATATGAGCAAGACTCGATACAAACGGGTGGGTTTTGAACCCGCGAACAGAGAGCCTCAAAACTCCAGACCGTCACGTTAGCCACTGGGCCAGCTATCTTCAGTAAGATTCATCCAACTAGGTATATTTCTACACCATAGGAAGGTTAGCATAGGCACCACTGTGCCTATGCAAACTCCACCCGTGGTATGGTTTGTTTGCAGTCGTGTCATTGCGATTTCATGAATCAAGACTTGATACATTTGCTGATCTAGAAGTTAAGCGGCTGTTGTGTGTCGCATTCTAGGGAAGAAGACCTGAAGTATCCCTAAAGAAAAAAAAAAAACACTGCTTGGCTTGTTTTGGGTTATTCTGGGTTAACAGCACTGGGCTTATCTGAAGAAAGTCTGTAACTATAGTGCATATATAATGATGAAAACTTGTTTCTTTATGTATGATACACAGTGGACATTCTTGTTACAGATTATGGAGGCACAGAGACAGAGGCTGCTGTGGAGAAGGCAGTTGCATCAATTCTAGAAGAAAAAAATAGACAGCTGGGACCTGAGAGAAATTCATCCTCATTGACATTTAATGAGTCCACCATAGAACTTAACCATGTTCAGCAAAGCACTACATCTGTAAGTTATGCACATGTGGAAAATAGTATGGGTGTGCCTGGACCATATCAGCCCATGGAAAATACAAGGAACATTGTGCAGTTTGAAAGAAGCCAAATAGATTCATGTCCTGTTGAATATGTAGAGCAATCTATTGAACACTTGAGTATTGTTGATCACCAAGAAGGACCTGTTGTGGAGCATATTGTGGAAAATGTAGAACCCACTCTGCAAGACATTGAACAAATGCATATTGGGCCTGCAAACATAAGTATAATGGAAAGTGTAGAAATTCCCTCATCTAATGTTTACATCTATGACAATCCTGTGTATCTAAATCGCCTAATGAAAGACAACACTTGTGGCAAACGAATGAGGTATGATGCACCATACATCCACCGACTAGGTAAGTTGTTCTTTTGTGTTTTGTTTTATGAAATATTGCAAAAGTTCCTGTATTTAGAAAACTATTCGGTAAAATAAACACAGAGCTGGTGCCATAAAAAATACTTTTATGATTCAACTTTCATGTGTTTTTAATATTAAAAAAACTTTGTTCATTATTTTATCCTCTGATATTTCATATAACCACTCTTGTGCTTCTTACTCTAACCTAGTTTTTATGTGATTTTGCAATCTTGGATATTTGTTTTTTCTTTTTATTTATCTATATTTAAATATTTAAACATTGCAGCAAGGCAGAAACTAGAGGTAGTGGGGATTTCATGTTATCTCTTATAACTTCCTAGCATTTTTACAACAATTCTTGTCAACACGATAAGTCTACAGTACTCGTCATTAAAGTATGCTGGCCACCCTCTCAAACCATGACCACAAAATAGATCATCCCTTGTACTTTTGGACATTCTTCAACTGGCTAGGAAGTGTTAGCACACATTCTTCAGGGTTTCATTGGGTAAAAAATCTTTGGACCATGCTGCATGAAAGAGTCAGGCAAATGATCATAGAACAATTGTAGGTATGTTATTACAGTTAATGTTAATGGGAATATACACAAATAACCCGCACATAAAAGAGAGAAGCTTATGACGACGTTTCGGTCAGACTTGGACCAGTGTGACTTTGTAAATGGTCCAAGTCGGACCGAAACGTCGTCATAAGCTTCTCTCTTTTATGTGCGGGTTATTTGTGTATCGTTCCAGTCACGGTATTGTGCCTTTTTTTTGTTATTTGTTAATGGGAATGTTTTTCAAGGCTTCCCTGGACATGCTTTTGGTGTTGGCATGTCAGCACTGTCTTCAAGGAACCAACTCAACTAGGTCCTCACTGAATACTCACACATGTCAATGGCTACATTATTTCCTTCATTTGATGGCTTACCTTATATAATCCAATGACATGTGCAATTGTTTCTTGTGTTGGTGACATACTACTTCCCATAATAATACATGTATAGCTAAAATTGCGTGACAAACTCAACACTCAAGACAATATAGTGCAGGGAGATCATGGACACAAATCTGTCCACCACACAATCCTAGAAGGGACTTAGAACACAGCCAGTAGCTTTAGGAAATCCTGAAATGTCCTGCTACAGGTTGCCAGGTCAGCATAACTTTTTGTCTCACCAAAACACTTAACAGGGTAGGGTATTGCTTTTGGCATTAAATTATGCCAAATGCCTCCACCCAGCATACTTTATTGACAAGCACTGTATAGTTTTAAATATTAGCATAATTTGCATCATTTTCCATTTATTTGCTAATTTTCCTTCCTTAAGTGAAAGCTTAAAAAATTTCAAAAGTAAGAGATCAGTTTTGCTCAGTTTTTAAAACCAGTGATGCTATCTCATCTATTCCTTTTGCTTTTTTGTGGTAAGGTATTTATAAATCTAATTCAAAAGTGTTTCTTATTTGGGTCACCTTGCTTCAGCGGGAAATGACCAGTGTTTTGGAAAATAAATATTAGAAAAATCTCTGTTTATGCTGTACAGGATGATCTTCCACCTAGACTCTGCTGTTATTTCAAGCTTAAAATTACTACTTTTTTTTTATCCTATGTTGTTTGGAAAGAAGTAGAATCAATAGATCATAACCAGTTAAAACAGAGTGAAGGAGAATAAACTGGAACACAATGAATTTGTAATATAAGATGCTTGCAATAAGAGTTGGGCATAAAACAACTGAAGTATTTTATATTATTTGAATCCAATAAACCTACGAAACTCAAAGAAAAAAAAGCATGAAAAAATTTTACTCTTAATTTTTTGAATAATATATCGTAGTGCTTCTTTGTTATTAACCCTTTCAGGGTAGACAGGTCCTCTCAGAGACTTGTTCTCAGGGTCGGCCAAATTTAAAAAAAAAAAAAAAAAGAATTTTCTTATGAAAAGATATAGAATCTTTTCCCGATCATAATGACACCAAAAGTATGAAATTTGATGGAAAACTTACGGAATTATGCTCTCGCGAAGTTAGCGGTCTCGACAATGTTTACGCATCAGCGATTTTGCCCACTTTGAGCCCTATTTTCGGCCAATTCCAGGGTACTTGTCAACAAAAATCATAACTATTTCCCTAGAACTCCATTTTTTCTATCGAATGAGTACAAGAAACCACCCATTTACTGATTTCAACTATCCAATACAGTGGTCAGAATTTAGCAATTTTGCCAATTTCACACAAATTTCAAAAGATGCCAATTTCTGAATAGGGTTCAGAATAAATAAGAAAGACATTCCTGGCACTAAAATAACATTTTCTCTGTTCATTAGTCATGTCCCTATACCCCTCTTACATTCTTTTGCTTTCCACTTTGAATTTTTATTCTCACAAAAAAATAGAGGTTTACTGTTATGCAGACTACTGCACTGGTGTAGAAATGGTAAAAAATATTATCAGCGCACTTGTGAAAGAATATTAGACTCACCAGTTGATGTGTATTGGACGCATAGCATGATTTGTTTACTTTTGAACTTTGGTAAAAATCGAACATTTCTGCTACTTTGAATGCAATTTCAAGGTAGTTTTCTTTGTAAAACCAGTCAAAATCATCTCAATTTCTGTAATATGTCTTCAATTCTATAAAATGAGACCAGGAAAACTAGAATACAACAATAAATACCATACGAAAATACAGTGCAAAGTCGCTGTTTTAATCCAAAAACACGGTCAAAGTTTTTTTTTTCTCATTACGCACTGTGTGCTGCAGGATTTTTTTATACCATGCACACTGACCACACAGACCCATTCTTTCATATGTAGGCCTACCAGCTTTCTCTTACTAGATTTGAGGGTGCTAGAATTTAGGCATATAAGTACATCAAAAACCCTGGTGCGTAAGCCGTGCTAGTATGGCCGAAACCCTGAAAGGGTTAATGGTTATTAAAGAAGCTGTTTGCTAAGAATCACTCAGATTTGTAAAATTTTAAGTTTTACTGCTATTTAACCTGTAAACGGTCCAAACGTATATATACGTTTTTTTCAACATTTGATAGTATGTAAAAAAAGTAGATCTTTTTTTTTTTTTTACATTTGAAAACGTGTAAAAGAACTTTGATCTACGTTTATTTTTTCTGTTATATTTGAAAATATTTAACAAAACGTAGATCTACTTTTGGAGCACTACGCATGTGAACATAGATCTGCTTGGACCGTTTACGGGTTAAGTAAAAGGAATATTATTTTGGAGATAATCTCTAGTTATAATGTCAACTACCAGGACCCTGGGATGACAAGTCTAGCCGACAACTAATCAGTCTTGTGAAAGAATACCCGGAGGCATATTTTATCTGGGGTAAAAACTGCAAAAGAACAGAAGCCTGGGAACTAATACGATACAAACTTGGTAAAGCTGGTTATCACTTTACGGTTCTTCAGGTAAGATTAGTGGAATTCAGTAAATAATTGTACTAGTGGATTCAATAAAGTTCTGTGTATATATTTCTAATATACATCTTTCAAGTTTCTTTAGATTGTATTTAAAACATGCAAAGTAGTACAATAGGAAAATTTTTGGTTGTAGTCTATTTTTGTGGTTTGTTAGAAATTTATAAAGTACTGTAATGTACTGTTTAACAATAGGCCACATTTGTTTTAATTTTACCTTCTTTGTTATTATTCACTTCTTTTTTTTTACTCCCTTCCCTTATTTTTGTTTTAGCCCTTTTTTTTTGTTTATTTTTCTCCTAATTAATCCTCTTCTTTATTTCTGTATCCCTTATTTGTTTCCTCATTCTTTTACTGATGTCTGACCTGTCTGTTTCCATTTCCTTGCTTTTTGTTTGTTTTTATTTTTTTTCAATATACATATGTCTTACCTGTGATGGATGTTAGTTTTCAGCCTATGTTTTTTTCTGATCAGATACTAGACTGATGCATATGCTTTAGTCAAATATTTGGGTAAGGTTTGTATTCAGCCACTAAATTTATGTTACCCATATTTGACAAAAATTTTAGTTATATGCGGACTCATTCTTTGGCTTATTAGAGTATTTTAAAGATATATATTTATGTAATGACTGCACAAGCCTGCTTAATGGCTTGTGACAAGATGTGCATTTGCACTGACATTTACAGTCCACATGCAAGTACTCTCTACACAATGCTACTTGCAGTATTATTGCATCATGTATATGTAGAATTTATTAAAAAAAAAAGAGGGCACTTAGAGAGGATGCAGCAAAATAGGATGACTAGGAGGGTATATAAATCAGGGGTGGAGGAAAGAAGGTGTAGGGGTCATTCCAGGAAGGGTTAGAGAGAGGGGAAGGGGAAAGGAGGCTTTGAGTTCTAGAGACTTCAAACATTTTCAGGCTTGTTTGAGTGCATTAGATCAGAGTGAATGAAGGCAAGTAGTTTTTGTAACCTGATGTCGTATTAGAGTGTGAGTACGGTAATATTTATGAAGGAACTTAGGGAAGCTGGTTAGTCGGACTTGAGTCCTGGAGGTGGGAGGTACAGTGCCTGCACTCTGAAGAAGGGGCGAGGATGTTGCAGTTCAGAGGGCCATCAGAACTAGGATGTCAGGATGCTTCTGGCAAGAGAGTGATTGAATGAAAGACAGTGAATGTGTTTATAATGTATGAAAATTATGCACATTCCTCTCAGTATAGAGGTTTTACTCTACAGTGTTGAACCTCTAAACAGATTCGCATGCGATGGAGAGAACTTTGCAAGAGGTATCGCAATGTTGTCAACCATAATGACTTGCATAATACAAGACGAACCTGCCAATATTTTGATGATTTAAACAGCCTATTTGGTAAATACATAAAATGCACTTTTTGTTGTACATTGCAAGATAAAAATTTAGTTGTTTCAGTTTTAAAACTTACTGTAAGCAAAGTAAAAATATTTTAAAACTTAGTTCACTGAATATGAATTAAAAAGCTTATACTAGTAGTTGTATGATGCTGTGTGACTCACACAATATGAATGTTGTAGTTTAATAATATACCTGTATAGTAGTTGTATAGTACCAAAATCATGTATGTATAATACAGTGGACCCCCGCATAACGATCACCTCCCAATGCGACCAATTATGTAAGTGTATTTATGTAAGTGCGTTTGTACATGTATGTTTGGGGGTCTGAAATGGACTAATCTACTTCACAACATTCCTTATGGGAACAAATTCGGTCAGTACTGGCACCTGAACATACTTCTGGAATGAAAAAATATCGTTAACCTGGGGTCCACTGTATTCAGTTCACATGTTTCTTCTTGTTTAGTTGGGAATGGAGTAAACATTAATAATGTTCCACATGCATTAATATTCAGTTACAGTTTGGAAAATTTGATTGTAACTTTAAGGAGACAACTGATCTCTTAAGTTTAGATATAATATTTTTGATAATTACAAGTGCTTTAACATACTCTCGGTTTTAAACTTAAAGATAAGCAAATAATATATAATGGGAATTCTTGCTAAGAATAATGTTGAAGAGAAAAGTATTAACTGGATCATTTACTTTTAGTGTATGTGTGTGTGTGGGGGGGGGGAGGAGGGGAAGGGCAGATATGTACACTATTACATCAGCTGGTGACATATACGTATACAAGTTGTGTTCAAATTTGTTTATTTATAACTTGTAGGAATTTGGGATTCTCAAGCCACATTGCTCCTAATTAAAGAAATTGGAGCAAATCCTGCTAAACGTCTTGGGCAGAGTGGAGGCACTCGAATGAGGTATAAAGTGTGGAAGCAAGTTCAGGAAGCACTGTCACAGCATGGATATGAGTGAGTGTTATATACTCTGATTTTGCTCATACAATACAAGAGTATTCAGGAAGCTAAGCCCTTCATCTATGTATAGTAATATTTTCTTTGCATATTTTTTTTCAACAATCTAGCAGTCTCTCACTGAGGCAGGATGACCTAAGAAGAAAAACAAAAGTTTTTCTATTTGAATTTTGTAATTTATATAGAAGGGGTTATTTTCTTTGCATATCACTTATAAATATTATAAGTTGTAAATTTAAACATAAACACATAAAAATAGCACATAAAACAAGTAAAGAGTTTTGTATTTTTGTCAGACTACTGTATGATGGAATGTTACAGTACTTCTTTTTATCTTGTTTTGGTATAGGAAAGAAAAAGATATGAAAAAATTATGGTTCCCTAAACATAAAGGCACTGAGTTTCATCACTATAAATACAAGGAAAAATATGGAAGTAGTATTTTGAATATCATTAAGAAGGTTTTAGTGTTTATATGGGCAAGTAAATCGAAAAGGTTGGAGGGAGGGGGTAAAGGAGGTTTTGTGGGTGAGGGGCTTGGACTTCCAGCAAGCGTGTGTGAGCGTGTTAGATAGGAGTGAATGGAGACGAATGGTATTTGGGACCTGACGATCTGTTGGAGTGTGAGCAGGGTGATATTTAGTGAAGGGATTCAGGGAAACCGGTTATTTTTATATAGCCAGACTTGAGTCCTGGAAATGGGAAGTACAATGCCTACACTCTAAAGGAGGGGTTCGGGATATTAGCAGTTTGGAGGGATATGTTGTGTATCTTTATACGTATATGCTTCTAAGCTGTTGTGTTCTGAGCACCTCTGCAAAAACAGTGATTATGTGTGAGTGAGGTGAAAGTGTTGAATGATGATGAAAGTATTTTCTTTTTGGGGATTTTCTTTCTTTTTTGGGTCACCCTGCCTCAGTGGGAGACGGCTGACTTGTTAAAAAAAAAATGGGCAAGTAAATCTCCATGGGGAACTGGAACAGAATTCTTCCTTCATAAGCCATGCATGTTGTGAGAGGCACCTAAAATGCCTGGAGCAATGGGCTAGTAACCTCTTCTCCTATATACATTACTAAATTTAAAAAGAGAAATTTTTGTTTTTATTTTTGGGTCACCCTGCCTTGGTGGGATATGGCCAGTTTGATGAAAAAAAATGGACAAGTAAAAAGTCATTAAGATATAACTCAGCAGGTAATTAATTACATAGATATAAATTATATACCTATGAATTTAATATATCACATTTACTGGTACAAAGTATTTTCGTTGCCATTTTACCTTATCAATAAATTTGCCTTAGGACTGAAGTACACTGACAACACTTTCCACCCTGACAACAGTCCAGTGTATGTATTTACTTTTTTTTTTTTTCAACAAGTCGGCTGTCTCCCACCGAGGCAGGGTGACCCAAAAAAGAAAGAAAATCCCCAAAAAGAAAATACTTTCATCATTCAACACTTTCACCACACTCACACATTATCACTGTTTTTGCAGAGGTGCTCAGAATACAACAGTTTAGAAGCATACACATATAAAGATACACAACATATCCCTCCAAACTGCCAATATCCCAAACCCCTCCTTTAAAGTGCAGGCACTGTACTTCCCATTTCCAGGACTCAAGTCCGACTATATGAAAATAACCGGTTTCCCTGAATCCCTTCACTAAATGTTACCCTGCTCACACTCCAACAGATCATCAGGTCCCAAGTACCATTCGTCTCCATTCACTCCTATCTAACACGCTCACGCACGCTTGCTGGAAGTCCAAGCCCCTTGCCCACAAAACCTCCTTTAGCCCCTCTCTCCAACCCTTTCGAGGACGACCCCTACCCCGCCTTCCTTCCCCTATAGATTTATATGCTTTCCATGTCATTCTACTTTGATCCATTCTCTCTAAATGACCAAGCCACCTCAACAACCCCTCTTCTGCCCTCTGACTAATACTTTTATTAACTCCACACCTTTTCCTAATTTCCACACTCCGAATTTTCTGCATAATATTTACACCACACATTGCCCTTAAACAGGACATCTCCACTGCCTCCAACCGTCTCCTCACTGCTGCATTTACCACCCAAGCTTCACACCCATATAAGAGTTTTGGTACTACTATACTTTCATACATTCCTTTCTTTGCCTCCATAGATAACGTTTTTTGTCTCCACATATACCTCAAAGCACCACTCACCTTTTTTCCCTCATCAATTCTATGATTAACCTCATCCTTCATAAATCCATCTGCCGACACGTCAACTCCCAAGTATCTGAAAACATTCACTTCTTCCATACTCCTCCTCCCCAATTTGATATCCAATTTTTCTTTATCTAAATCATTTGATACCCTCATCACCTTACTCTTTTCTATGTTCACTTTCAACTTTCTACCTTTACACACATTCCCAAACTCATCCACTAACCTTTGCAATTTTTCTTTAGAATCTCCCATAAGCACAGTATCATCAGCAAAAAGTAACTGTGTCAATTCCCATTTTGAATTTGATTCCCCAAAATTTAATCCCACCCCTCTCCCGAACACCCTAGCATTTACTTCCTTTACAACCCCATCTATAAATATATTAAACAACCATGGTGACATTACACATCCCTGTCTAAGACCTACTTTTACCGGGAAGTAGTCTCCCTCTCTTCTACACACCCTAACCGGAGCCTCACTATCCTCATAAAAACTCTTTACAGCATTTAATAGCTTACCACCTATACTTGCAACATCTGCCACATTGCTCCTCTAACCACTCGATCATATGCCTTTTCTAAATCCATAAATGCAATAAAAACTTCCCTACCTTTATCTAAATACTGTTCACATATATGCTTCAATGTAAACACTTGATCTACACATCCCCTACCCACTCTGAAACCTCCTTGCTCATCCGCAATCCTACATTCTGTCTTATATCTGATTCTTTTCCAATTATAACCCTACCGTACACTTTTCCTGGTATACTCAGTAAACTTATTCCTCTATAATTTTTACAGTCTCTTTTGTCCCCTTTCCCTATACACGCTCTCTGCCAATCCCTAGGTACCTTCCCCTCTTTCATACATTTATTAAATAAAAGTACCAACCACTCCAACACTATATCCCCCCCTGCTTTTAACATTTCTGTCATGATCCCATCAGTTCCAGCTGCTTTACCCCCTTTCATTTTACGTAATGCCTCACGTACCTCCCCCACACTTACATTCTGCTCTTCTTCACTCCTAAAAGATGGTATACCTCCCTGACCAGTGCATGAAATTACTGCCTCTGTTTCTTCCTTAACATTTAAAAGTTCCTCAAAATATTCTCGCCATCTACCTAATACCTCCATCTCCCCATCTACTAACTCTCCTACTCTGTTTTTAACTGACAGATCCATACTTTCCCTAGGCTTGTTTAACTCACTCCAAAATTTGTTCTTATTTTCATTAAAATTTCTTGACAGTGCCTCTCCCACTCTATCATCTGCTCTCCTTTTGCACTCTCTCACCACTCTCTTTACCTTTCTTTTACTCTCCATATACTCTGCTCTTCTTATAACACTTCTGTTTTGTAAAAACCTCTCATAAGCTACCTTTTTCTCTTTTATCACACCCTTTACTTCATCATTCCACCAATCACTCCTCTTTCCTTGTGCCCCCACCCTCCTATAACCACAAACTTCATGATATCTTTACATAAAAATTTGTGATAATAAAGTTTGAGTGTATATGCTATATAAATATACGTGCATAATGCCAGTTCCACTTGCAGGTACACGGCACATCAAGTTCATGGCCGGTGGACTGCACTGGTGACATTATATCAGAGGATGGCAGAGCACAACTCCAATCATGGCAATGAATTGTTAACTGTTGCCTATCAAGATGCCATAGAGACTGTATTTAAATATGTCCCTGAAAGGAAAACTAAGTTGGCTAAAATTCGTGAAAAACAGGGACAGTCGTGTAAGGAATTTCAAAGCAAGTATACGTATATTGTATTCTTTGGTATGTTTTTATTTATCATTAGGTTTCTCTTTTATCACTTTGTGATTAAAGCCATTCATATTTGTTTCATTTACAGTGTGTTCAGCTGAGAATCAAGAAATTTAATTTTTGCATCTCATAATCTTTAAACCATACCATGGGCGGGGATAGAACCCGTAATCAGAGACTCTCTGATCATGGGTTCTATCTCCGCCTGTGGTATGGTTTGTTTGCAATCGTGTCATTACGATTTCGTGAGTCATAATCTTTAACTTCGAGGAATTACTGTATATTGTTTTCACAGAAAAGTGGACGGTACCTGTTGAACGAATCTTACTTAGAGGTTACAAAGACAACATTGAACTTTTTATGAAAAATGAGAATAAAAAGGAAGTTTGGGAAAAGATTGTAATGGTAAGTTTTTTTTTTTTTTTACTGTTATTAGACATGCTGTTGGAGTGTGATCAGAGTAACTTTTATGAAAGGATTCAGAGAAACTGGTTAGCTGAACTTGAGTCCTGGAGGTAGGAAGAACAGTGCCTACACTCTGAAGGAGAGGTGAGGATGTTGCAGTCAGAAGGGTGATTTCATTGTGAAAATATTGGCATGATGGCAGTTGAGTGAATGTTGGTGAGTATGTATTGTTTTTTGAGTCATTCTGTTTTTGCAGGAGACAGCCATTGAGCTAAAAAACAATAATGAAACATTTTTATGTACTGTAGTACTGTACAGAGTTTTTTAATTCAATATTTTATGTGCAGTGCATTATGTACAGTTACTTTCCTGATAATATCATTTCTTTTGAATCTCATTATTCACTACAGTACTTGGGTATACAGTGGAACCTTGGTTTTCGTATGCCCTAGTCTGTATGTAAAACTAGATTTTTTTTTTTTCATCAAGTTGGCCGTCTCCCACCAAGGCAGGGTGACCCAAAAAGAAAGAAAATCCCCCCCAAAAAAAATACTTTCATCATCATTCAACACTTTCACCACACTCACACATAATCACTGCTTTTGCAGAGGTGCTCAGAATACAACAGTTTAGAAGCATGTACGTATAAAGATACACAACATATCCCTCCAAACTGCTAATATCCCAAAACCCCTCCTTTAGAGTGCAGGCAATGTACTTCCCATTTCCAGGACTCAAGTCCGGCTATATAAAAATAACTGGTTTCCCTGAATCCCTTCACTAAATATTACCCTGCTCACACTCCAACAGCTCGTCAGGTCCCAAATACCATTCGTCTCCATTCACTCCTATCGAACACGCTCATGCACGCTTGCTGGAAGTCCAAGCCCATTGCCCACAAAACCTCCTTTACCCCTTCCTTCCAACCTTTTCGAGGACGACCCCTACCCCGCCTTCCTTCCCCTACAGATTTATACGCTCTCCATGTCATTCTGCTTTGATCCATTCTCTCTAAATGACCAAACCACCTCAACAACTCCTCTTCAGCCCTCTGGCTAATACTTTTATTAACTCTACACCTTCTCCTAATTTCCACACTCCGAATTTTCTGCATAATATTTACACCACACATTGCCCTTAGACAGGACATCTCCACTGCCTCCAACCTCCTCCTCGCTGCAGCAGTTACAACCCAAGCTTCACACCCATATAAGAGTGTTGGTACTACTATACTTTCATACATTCCCTTCTTTGCCTCCATAGATAACGTTTTTTGTCTCCATATATACCTCAACATACCACTCGCCTTTTTTCCCTCATCAATTCTGTGATTAACCTCATCCTTCATAAATCCATCCGTCGACACATCAACTCCCAAATATCTGAAAACATTCACTTCTTCTATATTCCTCCTCCCCAATTTGATATCCAGACACCCAAAAATATTAATAAAAAATGCATTTTATAGAGAATAACTATAGTTTTTTAGTGAAGGGATTCAGGGAAACCTGTTATTTTTATATAGCCGGACTTGAGTTCTGGAAATGGGAAGTACAATGCCTGCTCTTTAAAGGAGGGGTTTGGGGTATTGGCAGTTTGGTGGGATGTGTAATAGGACGGTATATACATAACTGGGGCCCTGATATTGTACGTAATTATTTCAGGTCACTCTTTATATTGTATCTTTATATATGCTTCTAAACTGTTGTATCTGGGCACCTCTGCAAAAACAGTGATTATGTGTGAGTGCGGTGAAAGTATTGAATGATGATGAAAGTATTTTCGTTTTGAGAATTTTCTTTCTTTTTGGGTCACCCTGCCTAGGTGGGAGACGGCCGACTAGTTGAAAAAAAAAAACTATAGTTTTACATACAGACTAAGGCATATGAAAACCAAGGTTTCACTGTACGTGTATTTTTTAATGGATGATCCTTTAATGAATTGAACTACTCTTACAGCTCATTCAGTTCTCTTGGCAGCTTGTGAGTTCCAGTCAAAATGCTAGCATCATTGTGGGCAGTCCCAGCGACATTACTGGTCATGCATAACATTTACATAGTATTAATCTGCTACATAAAATATTTCATTTTGCTAGAAATAATTGGAGATGGTTCCTACATATGTGGTACTGTAAGAGTTAGCTTAGGCTGGAGGGTTCACACCAGTACTAGCTATATGTCACCACTTATGCTCACTGTACCAGAATTTCATCATTTTTTACCAGAAAGTCATGGCATGAAGCATTCTGATCTGTATTTGACAAGTACATATTGCAGTACAGATGTCCCTTGCTTATGTAAATCTATTGTATTATATTGTTAAAGGATGACTTATGACATAAATTCACAGGAAATAAGTGTACTGTCTCAAAAATAAGTTTAGTATATAGAGATACATACAGGGAAATATTGAAGGCAGTATAGCGTATCATGTAGTGTTAAGAAAATTAACGTTAGACAAAACTCTTGGGATGCGCATCATATTCATAATGAGTGCAAGTAGTAATTGAGTCTGTAAGGAAATGATTGTTTATGAAGTTAAGGTATAGGTTTTGTAAGAAAAGATGGATAGAGGACATTTTACTTTGATCAAATTTGATTCTTCCATTGGAAGTAATGGAAGTCAAGGCAGCCACATATTTGCATCTTTCTCAATGCTTCTATGCTATATGTTTCAGATTGTGAAATATTGTGAAATTAATGATAGTAAACTAAGTTATTATTTACTATCATTATTACTTATCATTTATTTCTTAAAAGACTTGATAGTGATGAAAATTAGAGTAAAGGGTGCGTGATGAAGTGAAAATAAAATGTAAAATTCAGTTGATTGACCCAAATTAAATAAAGCTTTTGTCTCAGAATTAACGTTTTCATAAATTTAAGTAAAATTTTTCTAATGCAGTTGCTGAAGGAGGAAGGAAATTACCATACAAATGTAGAGAAAGTCAGAACAAGAATCTATGAGTTATTTAAGCAATATGAAGCAGTGCTGCGTCATAATTCTCAGCCCGGTACACTTTACAGAGAGTCCAGACACCATCAGATCTTGGCAGATGTAAGTGTTTATTCTATTTCATGATGAATAGAAGAATTTACTTTAGTATGCAGAAATTGGGTAACTGTCTGCAGGATATTATAAATCGGAGGTAAAGTGCTATGCAAGGAGAGGTGGTTTTAATTTATGAAAAGTTATATTTTAAGAGATTTATGGTACAGGAGGGCACCTTCTTTTTGGTGTTCCATATTTTTATTGACTTCAAATTGAGCTATAGTATAGTTCATTATGTTCCACGCGCCAGCGATTGTCACCAGCAGGTGGATTATTATTATTATAATCAAAAAGAAGCGCTAAGCCACAAGGGCTATACAGCACCAGCAGGTGGAACAATGGCTAACTTGAAAGCCATCGAAAATGTGAAACACAGAAAACAGATGCTGTATGTTCAGGGCCCTCCTGTATTTTAAAATTTATAGCTGAATCTCTGAATTATTTCTTTGTTAATTCAGGCCTGTGAGTTGTATCAAGAATCTAAACAGATGGCCTTTGTATCCTAGAAATTGAGGTGTTTATAGTCTAGGTACTTTATAATGCATGTAGTTTATATGTATTCAGAGGGAGTAAAGGGTCTAGTAACATTAAGACATCATAGTTATGATCTATAGTTAGGCATTATATTGTAGTATTTTGTTAGTATCAAGTTTATTTTCAAGTTTCAAGTTTGTAGACCTTCACAGTTTGCTATGTTTTATATTACTGCCCCAAATACTTTAGATCTTTAAAAAGTGTGCTGGCTTTATTTTATATAAGTTAGCATCCTCAGAAATTATGATAAAATGCAAGGAAGGTAATCATAATGTTGTTGAACTTAGAAAATAGCTTTAGCTTGTGTCATATTTGATTATAGAATAATGATTATTATCAAAATGTTATTACTTACACTATATTTTACCTAATATTACAGATCTACAGCTGTCATAATTGCTGGCCCCATGATGGTTCTACTATGAAGTCAGACAACTCCAGCTCATTGAGAATGAGGCAAAGTGTGTACCATTTCTTTTGCTTACTTAGGTATTTAAATATTTTGAAGGCAGTGGGAGAAAGGAGAATTTGCAGGGAATGATGACAACATAAGTGCCAAAGAGTATAAATATTTTGTTGAATAAAGTGGCCATTTACTTCCATGACAGAATAACTCAACAATTAAAAATCATTTACTGTAACTCAGTCTGTAGCTTCATGTCCAGAAGTGCACAGACAACATGAATAAAATGACTCGCCAAACATTCCCATTCATCTTTCAGAATGAAAATATTGCTTCCCACTTCCAGAATTAAGTTAGCTAAACCATATTTCCTAAATCCCTTCATGGATACTATATTATCAAGAACATACTCCAAAAGTACTTCAAATTCCAAAGGTGCCAATCATTCCTCTTCCCTCCAGCACCAATTATATATCTCTATTACACACTTGAATACTGCATTCTTAAATCCATACCATACCTCCTCAACATCATCCTTATTACCTTTTCACAACTTTGTTCACTCTTCTCCCAACAGTTTTTCACATCACTTGACATGTTATCCCCTTCTTTACTTCATTCATATTCACTAGTCATTACTCAAAGATACCATTCTCCTTTCTATTTTTTAACACACCAACTGTCTTCCACCGAGGTAGAGTGGGTGAGATGTTATCATCAAATTTTGTTAAAAATAAGAAAAAGTTTTGGAGTGAGATTAATAAGTTGAGAAAGCCTAGGGAATGAATGGATTTGATACTTAAAAATAGGAGAGGAGAGTTATTAAATGGAGAATTAGAGGTATCGGGAAGATGGAGGAAATATTTTGAGGAATTGTTAATGTTGTTGAAGATAGGGAAGCTGTGATTTTGTGTATAGGGCAAGGAGGAATAACATCTTGTAAGAGCGAGGAGGAGCGAGTTGTGAGTGTGGGGAAAGTTCGTAAGGCATTGGGTAGAATGAAAGGGGGGTAAGGCAGCTGGGATTGATGGGATAAAGATAAAAATGTTAAAAGCAGGTGGGGATATAGTTTTGGAGTGGTTAGTGCTTTTATTTAATAAATATATGGAAGAGGGTAAGGTACCTAGGGATTGGCAGAGAGTATACATAGTTCCTTTGTATAAAGGCAAAGGGGACAAAAGAGAGTGCAAAAATTATAGGGGAATAAGTCTGTTGAGTATACCTGGTAACGTGTATGGTAGAGTTATTATTGAAAGAATTAAGAGTAAGACGGAGAATAGGATAGCAGATGAACAATGAGGCTTTAGGAAGGGTAGGGGGTGTGTAGACCAAGTGTTTGCCATGAAACATATAGGTGAACAGTATTTAGATAAGGGTAAAGAGGTTTTTGTGGCATTTATGGATTTGGAAAAGGCATATGACAGGGTGGAAACCTGGAGTATACCTGGAGAGAGTTCTGGGGGTCAATGCCCCCACGGCCCGGTCTGTGACCAGGCCTCATGGTGCATCAGGGCCTGATCAACCAGGCTATTACTGCTGGCCCCACGTAATCCAGCATACGAACCAAAACCCGGCTGGTCAGGTACTGACTTCAGGTGCCTGTCTAGTGCCTGCTTGAAGACAGCCGGGGGTCTATTGGTAATCCCCCTGATGTATGCTGGGAGGCAGTTAAACAGTCTTGGGCCCCTGACACTTAGTGTGTTGTTTCTTATCATGCTAGTGGCACCCCTGCTTTTCATTGGGGGGATGTTGCGCCACCTGCCGAGTCTTTTGCTTTCGTAGGGAGTGATTTTCGTGTGCAGGTTTGGTATTAGTCCCTCTAGGATTTTTCTAGGTGTATATAATCATGTAGTAGGTTGGTAGACAGCAACCACCCAGGGAGGTACTACCGTCCTGCCAAGTGAATGTAAAACAAAAGCCTGTAATTGTTTTACATGATGGTAGGATTGCTGGTGTCTTTTGTCTGTCTCATAAATATGCAAGATTACAGGTATGTCTTGCTACTTCTACTTACGCTTAGGTCACACTACACATACATGTACACGTTTATTTATACACACTCATCTGAATTTTCTTTGATTTTATCTTAATAGTTCTTGGTCTTATTACTTTTCCCTTTATATCCATGGGGAAGTGGAATAAGAATCTTTCCTCCGTAAGCCATGCGTGTTGTAAAAGTCAGCTAAAATGCCGGGAACAATGGGCTAGTAACCCCTTTTCCTGTAAAGATTACTAAAAAGAATAAGAAGAAGAAAATTGTCAAAGTGGGAAGTCTGAATGTGCGTGGATGTTGTGCAAATGATAAGAAAGAGATGATTGTGGATGTTATGAATGAGAAGAAGCTGGATGTCCTGGCTTTAAGTGAAACGAAGCTGAAGGGGGTGGGAGAGTTTCAATGGAGAGGAATAAATGGGATTAGGTCAGGGGTTTCAAATAGAGTTAGAGCTAAAGAAGGAGTAGCAATAATGTTGAAGGATAAGCTATGGCAGGAAAAGAGGGACTTTAAATGTATTAATTCAAGGATTATGTGGAGTAAAATAAAGATTGGATGTGAAAAGTGGGTTATAGTAAGCATGTATGCACCTGGAGAAGAAAGAAGTGTAGAGGAGAGAGAGAGATTTTGGGAAATGTTGAGTGAATGCGTGGGGAGCTTTGAATCAAGTGTGAGAGTAATGGTGGTTGGGGATTTCAATGCTGAAGTGGGTAAAAATGTTATGGAGGGAGTAGTAGGTAAATTTGGGGTGCCAGGGGTAAATGTAAATGGGGAGCCTTTAATTGAGCTATGTGTAGAAAGAAATTTGGTAATAAGTAATACATATTTTATGAAAAAGAGGATAAATAAATATACAAGGTATGATGTAGCACGTAATGAAAGTAGTTTGTTAGATTATGTATTGGTGGATAAAAGGTTGATGGGTAGGCTCCAGGATGTACATGTTTATAGAGGGGCAACTGATATATCGGATCATTATTTAGTTGTAGCTACAGTTAGAGTAAGAGGTAGATGGGAAAAGAGGAAGGTGGCAACAACAAGTAAGAGGGAGGTGAAAGTGTATAAACTAAGGGAGGAGGAAGTTAGGGCGAGATATAAGCGACTATTGGCAGAAAGGTGGGCTAGTGCAAAGATGAGTAGTGGGGGGGTTGAAGAGGGTTGGAATAGTTTTAAAAATGCAGTATTAGAATGTGGGGCAGAAGTTTGTGGTTATAGGAGGGTGGGGGCAGGAGGAAAGAGGAGTGATTGGTGGAATGATGAAGTAAAGGGTGTGATAAAAGAGAAAAAGGTAGCTTACGAGAGGTTTTTACAAAGCAGAAGTGTTATAAGAAGAGCAGAGTATATGGAGAGTAAAAGAAAGGAGAAGAGAGTGGTGAGAGAGTGCAAAAGGAGAGCAGATGAAAGAGTGGGAGAGGCACTGTCAAGAAATTTTAATGAAAATAAGAAAAAATTTTGGAGTGAGTTAACCAAGTTAAGAAAGCCTAGGGAAAGTATGGATTTGTCAGTTAAAAACAGAGTAGGGGAGTTAGTAGATGGGGAGAGGGAGGTATTAGGTAGATGGCGAGAATATTTTGAGGAACTTTTAAATGTTGAGGAAGAAAGGGAGGCGGTAATTTCATGCACTGGTCAGGGAGGTATACCATCTTTTAGGAGTGAAGAAGAGCAGAATGTAAGTGTGGGGGAGGTACGTGAGGCATTACGTAGAATGAAAGGGGGTAAAGCAGCTGGAACTGATGGGATCATGACAGAAATGTTAAAAGCATGGGGGGATATAGTGTTGGAGTGGTTGGTACTTTTGTTTAATAAATGTATGAAAGAGGGGAAGGTACCTAGGGATTGGTGGAGAGCATGTATAGTCCTTTATATAAAGGGAAAGGGGACAAAAGAGATTGTAAAAATTATAGAGGAATAAGTTTATTGAGTATACCAGGAAAAGTGTACGGTAGGGTTATAATTGAAAGAATTAGAGGTAAGACAGAATGTAGGATTGCGGATGAGCAAGGAGGTTTCAGAGTGGGTAGGGGATGTGTAGATCAAGTGTTTACATTGAAGCATATATGTGAACAGTATTTAGATAAAGGTAGGGAAATTTTTATTGCATTTATGGATTTAGAAAAGGCATATGATGTAGTGGATAGGGGAGCAATGTGGCAGATGTTGCAAGTATATGGAATAGGTGGTAAGTTACTAAATGCTGTAAAGAGTTTTTATGAGGATAGTGAGGCTCAGGTTAGGGTGTGTAGAAGAGAGGGAGACTACTTCCCGGTAAAAGTAGGTCTTAGACAGGGATGTGTAATGTCACCATGGTTGTTTAATATATTTATAGATGGGGTTGTAAAAAAAGTAAATGCTAGGGTGTTTGGGAGAGGGGTGGGATTAAATTATGGGGAATCAAATTCAAAATGGGAATTGACACAGTTACTTTTTGCTGATGATACTGTGCTTATGGAAGATTCTAAAGAAAAATTGCAAAGGTTAGTGGATGAGTTTGGGAATGTGTGTAAAGGTAGAAAGTTGAAAGTGAACATAGAAAAGAGTAAGGTGATGAGGGTATCAAATGATTTAGATAAAGAAAAATTGGATATCAAATTGGGGAGGAGTAGTATGGAAGAAGTGAATGTTTTCAGATACTTGGGAGTTGACGTGTCGGCGGATGGATTTATGAAGGATGAGGTTAATCATAGAATTGATGAGGGAAAAAAGGTGAGTGGTGCATTGAGGTATATGTGAAGTCAAAAAAACATTGTCTATGGAGGCAAAGAAGGGAATGTATGAAAGTATAGTAGTACCAACACTCTTATATGGGTGTGAAGCTTGGGTGGTGAATGCAGCAGCGAGGAGACGGTTGGAGGCAGTGGAGATGTCCTGTCTAAGGGCAATGTGTGGTGTAAATATTATGCAGAAAATTCGGAGTGTGGAAATTAGGAAAAGGTGTGGAGTTAATAAAAGTATTAGTCAGAGGGCAGAAGAGGGGTTGTTGAGGTGGCTTGGTCATTTAGAGAGAATGGATCAAAGTAGAATGACATGGAAAGCATATAAATCTATAGGGGAAGGAAGGCGAGGTAGGGGTCGTCCTCGAAAGGGTTGGAGAGAGGGGGTAAAGGAGGTTTTGTGGGCAAGGGGCTTGGACTTCCAGCAAGCATGCGTGAGCGTGTTAGATAGGAGTGAATGGAGACGAATGGTACTTGGGACCTGACGATCTGTTGGAGTGTGAGCAGGGTAATATTTAGTGAAGGGATTCAGGGAAACTGGTTATTTTTATATAGTTGGACTTGAGTCCTGGAAATGGGAAGTACAGTTCCTGCACTTTAAAGGAGGAGTTTGGGATATTGGCAGTTTGGAGGGATATATTGTGTATCTTTATACGTATATGCTTCTAAGCTGTTGTATTCTGAGCACCTCTGCAAAAACAGTGATTATGTGTGAGTGTGGTGAAAGTGTTGAATGACGATGAAAGCATTTTCTTTTTGGGGATTTTCTTTCTTTTTTGGGTCACCCTGCCTCGGTGGGAGACGGCCGACTTGTTGAAAAAAAAAAAAAAAAAAATCTCCCTCCTGCATTCTAGGGAATACAGGTTGAGGAACTTCAAGCGTTCCCAATAATTGAGGTGGTTTATCGCACTTATGTGCGCCGTGAAGGTTCTCTGTACATTTTCTGGGTCAGCAGTTTCACCTGCCTTGAAAGGTACTGTTAGTGTGCAGCAATATTCCAGCCTAGATAGGATAGGGGATAGGATAGGTGGCAATGTGGCAGACTGCCGTCATGTTGAAAAAAAAAAATGTACGTATATGTACATTTGCATCCATCCCTCCACCCCACCTTCCCTTCCTTGGATAAACCTGATTATCTATCATTTTCCAGGCACTGTATAGCTCCTCTGTTTAGCACTTCCTCTTGAATATTTTATCATGTACAGAAATGCACCATCTGTTATTTAACGTATCATTATTGCAGTGAAAGCTCAAATGTTGTGGAGTGATGAAGAGTCTCGGGCTGTTCTCTCACTCTATCCTCAAGTGTTATTTGAACACCTAAGGAAAGGTGACCAACTACCTCTGGAAGAGTTATGGGTCCAGCTTGCCAAAGATCTTGTCTCTACACACAACTTCTTCAAGCAGCCATATGAGGTATGTGTTGCTTTCTTCTAGACAGTACTACATATGGCAACTTATTATTGCACTATTAGACAGGCAATGGGGTCGAAGAGGTATGGGGTAGGTTTAAAAATGTAGTGTTAGAGTGTTCAGCAGAAGTTTGTGGTTACAGGAAAGTGGGTGCAGGAGGGAAGAGGAGCGATTGGTGGAATGATGATGTAAAGAGAGTAGTAAGGGAGAAAAAGTTAGCATATGAGAAGTTTTTACAAAGTAGAAGTGATGCAAGGAGGGAAGAGTATATGGAGAAAAAGAGAGAGGTTAAGAGAGTGGTGAAGCAATGTAAAAAGAGAGCAAATGAGAGAGTGGGTGAGATGTTATCAACAAATTTTGTTGAAAATAAGAAAAAATTTTGGAGTGAGATTAACAAGTTAAGAAAGCCTAGAGAACAAAGGGTTTTTGTCAGTTAAAAATAGGAGAGGAAGTTATTAAAGGGAAAGGTTAGAGTTTTGGGAAAGATGGGGGAAATATTTTGGGGAATTGTTAAATTTTGAAAAGATAGGAAGCTGTGATTTTGTGTATGGGGCAAGGGGGAATAACATCTTGAGGGTGGGGAAGAGCCAGTTGTGAGTGGGGGGGAATTCGTGAGGGAGTATTAAAATGAAAGGGGGGAAGGCAGCGGGATTTATGGGATAAAGATAGAAATGTTAAAAACAGGTTTGGGGGTAAGTTTTGGAGGGTTTGGGGCAATTATTTAATAAAAGTTAGAAGAGGGTAAAGGGACCTAGGGTTGGCAGAGAGCATGCATAGTTCCCTTTTTATAAAGGAAAGGGGATAAAAGAGAGTGCAAAAAAAATGGATAATCTGTTGGTATACCTGGTAAAGTGTATGGTAGAGTTTATAATTTAAAGAAATTTAAGAGAAGACGGAAATAGGGTCAATGAAAAAGGAGGCTTTGGGAAAAGGTGGGGGTGTAGGACCAGGGTTTACGTGAAAAAAATATAAGTGAACAGTATTTAGATAAGGTAAAGAGGTCTTTGTGGGATTTATGGATTTGGAAAGGGGTTTTTGACAGGGGGATAAGGGGCAATGTGGCAGATGTTGCAAGTGTATGGTGTAGAGGTAGGGTTTCGAAAGCAGTGAAGATTTTTTTAAAAGGGTGTGAGGCTAAAATTAGGGTTGTGGAAAGAGGGAAATTTTTTCCCAGTAAAAGTAGGCCCTTTGACAAAGGGTGTTGATGTCACCGGGGTTTTTTAATATATTTTAAATGGGGTTTTAAGGAATAAATGCGAGGGTCTTGGAAGAGGCTGGAGTTAAAAGTAAAGAATCACCCAAAGTGGGGGTTTTCACAGCTGCCTTTGGATGACACTGTGCTCTTGGGAGATTTTTGAAGAGAATTTTCAGAATTGGGGGATGAATTTGGGAGGGTGTGCAAAAGAAGAAAATTAAGGTAATACAGGAAAGAGTAAGGTTTGGGGAATAACAAAAAAAATTAGGTGATGAAAGATTAAAATATCAGTTGGAGGGAGAGATTTTGGAAAGGGAGGTGAACGTATTCAATTTTTTGGGAGGGGACGTGTCAGTGGAGGGGTCTATGAAATGGGTGAACCCATAAAATTTGATGGGGGAAAAAAAGAGTGAGGGGTTTGCATTTAGGAGTCTGTGGAAACAAAGAACTTTGTCCTTGGGGGGAAAAGAGGGGAATGTATGAGAGAAATAGTTTTACCAACGCTCTTATAGGGGTTTGTGAAGCATGGGTGATGAATTTTGCAGCGAGGAAAAGGGTGGGGGCCGTGGAGATGCCCCAGGTCGGGGGGGCAATGTGGGGGTGAAAATATAATGCAGAGAATTTGAGTTTGGAAGTTGGGAGGAGGTGCGGGTTTCCCAAAAAACTTTTTGCCAGAGGTGGGGAAGGGGTTGGTTGAGGGGGTTTTTGGAAACATGTAGAGAGAATGGAGCGAAACAAAAAGACTTCAAGAGGGGAATCAGTCTGTAGTGGAAGGAAGGGGGGGGAAAGGGGTCGGCTGGGAAAAGGTTTGGGAAAGGGGGGGGGTTTAAAGGAGGTTTTGTGTGCGAGGGGTTGGGCTTCCAGCAGGGGATGGTTTAGCGTTTTTTGAAAAGGGTGAATGGAGACAAAAAATTTTTAATACTTTTACGTGCTGTTGGGGGTGGGGAGCAAAATTTAAAATTTTTTTGGGAAAGGATTAGGGGAAAACCGGGAAACCCGGGCTTGAGTCCGGGATGGGAATACAAATGCCTGCCCCTCTGAAAGGGGGGGTTTTTTAAAGTTGCAGTTTTTTTAAAAATGTAGTGTAAAGCACCCTTTTTGGCAAGAAAAGTGGGTGGGGTTTAAAAGAAGGTGGGAAAATTTTTCTTTTTCGGGCCCCCTGCCCCTTTGGGGGGAATCGGCCAGTGTATAATAAAAAATAAAAAAAAAGACATGTCATAGTACTTTAGGTTATAACAACTTAATGTGTGTTAGGGCACCATATAATTTATAATGACCTAATCTCTCTGGTTTATTTTATAAAATGGATATTAGTTTTTCCTTACTTCTGAGTTTGTCATATCCTTTTTTTTTTTTTTTTTTTTTTTTTTCAACAAGTCGGTCGCCTCCCACCGAGGCAGGGTGACCCAAAAAAAAAGAAAGAAAATCCCCAAAAAGAAAATACTTTCATCATCATTCAACACTTTCACCACACTCACACATTATCACTGCTTTTGCAGAGGTGCTCAGAATACAACAGTTTAGAAGCATATACGTATAAAGATACACAACATATCCCTCCAAACTGCCAATATCCCAAACCACTCCTTTAAAGTGCAGGCATTGTACTTCCCATTTCCAGGACTCAAGTCCGACTATATGAAAATAACCGGTTTCCCTGAATCCCTTCACTAAATATTACCCTGCTCACACTCCAACAGATCGTCAGGTCCCAAGTATCATTCGTCTCCATTCACTTCTATCTAACACGCTCATGCACGCTTGCTGGAAGTCCAAGCCCCTCGCCCACAAAACCTCCTTTACCCCCTCTTTCCAACCCTTTCGAGGACGACCCCTACCCTCTTTCCTTCCCCTATAGATTTATATGCTTTCCATGTCATTCTACTTTGATCCATTCTCTCTAAATGACCAAACCACCTCAACAACCCCTCTTCTGTCCCTCTGACTAATGCTTTTATTAACTCCACACCTTCTCCTAATTTCCACACTCCTAATTTTCTGCATAATATTTACACCACACATTGCCCTTAGACAGGACATCTCCACTGCCTCCAACCGTCTCCTCGCTGCTGCATTTACCACCCAAGCTTCACATCCATATAAGAGTGTGGTACTACTATACTTTCATACATTCCCTTCTTTGCCTCCATAGATACGTTTTTTGACTCCACATATACCTCAACACACCACTCACCTTTTTTCCCTCATCAATTCTATGATTAACCTCATCCTTCCATAAATCCATCCGCCGACACGTCAACTCCCAAGTATCTGAAAACATTCACTTCTTCCATACTCCTCCTCCCCAATTTGATATCCAATTTTTCTTTATTTAAATCATTTGATACCCTCATCACCTTACTCTTTTCTATGTTCACTTTCAACTTTCTACCTTTACACACATTCTCAAACTCATCCACTAACCTTTGCAATTTTTCTTAGAATATCCCATAAGCACAGTATCATCAGCAAAAAGTAACTGTGTCAATTCCCATTTTGAATTTGATTCCCCATAATTTAATCCTACCCCTCTCCTGAACACCTAGCATTTACTTCTTTTCAACCCCATCTATAAATATATTAAACAACACTGGTGACATTACACATCCCTGTCTAAGACCTACTTTTACCGGGAAGTATTCTCCCTCTCTTCTACACACCCTAACCTGAGCCTCACTATCCTCATAAAAGCTCTTTACAGCATTTAGTAACTTACCACCTATTCCATAAACTTGCAACATCTGCCACATTGCTTCCCTATCCACTCTATCATATGCCTTTTCTAAATCCATAAATGCAATAAAAACTTCCCTACCTTTATCTAAATACTGTTCACATATATGCTTCAATGTAAACACTTGATCTACACATCCCCTACCCACTCTGAAGCCTCCCTGCTCATCCGCAATCCTACATTCTGTCTTACCTCTAATTCTTTCAATTATAACCCTACCGTATACTTTTCCTGGTATACTCAGTAAACTTATTCCTCTATAATTTTTACAATCTCTTTTGTCCCCTTTCCTTTATATAAAGGGACTATACATGCTCTCCGCCAATCCCTAGGTACCTTCCCCTCTTTCATACATTTATTAAACAAAAGTACCAACCACTCCAACACTATATCCCCCCCCCTGCTTTTTAACATTTCTGTCATGATCCCATCAGTTCCAGCTGCTTTACCCCCTTTCATTCTACGTAATGCCTCACGTACCTCCACCACACTTACATTCTGCTCTACTTCACTCCTAAAAGATGGTATACCTCCCTGCCAGTGCATGAAATTACCGCCTCCCTTTCTCCTCAACATTTAAAAGTTCCTCAAAATATTCTCGCCATCTACCTAATACCTCCCTCTCCCCATCTACTAACTCCCCTACTCTGTTTTTAACGGACAAATCCATACTTTCCCTAGGCTTTCTTAACTTGTTTAACTCACTCCAAAATTTTTTCTTATTTTCATTAAAATTTCTTGACAGTGCCTCTCCCACTCTTTCATCTGCTCTCCTTTTGCACTCTCTCACCACTCTCTTCACCTTTCTTTTACTCTCCATATACTCTGCTCTTCTTATAACACTTCTGCTTTGTAAAAAACCTCTCGTAAGCTACCTTTTTCTCTTTTATCACACCCTTTACTTCATCATTCCACTAATCACTCCTCTTTCCTCCTGTCCCCACCCTCCTATAACCACAAACTTCTGCCCCACATTCTAATACTGCATTTTTAAAACTATTCCAACCCTCTTCAACCCCCCCACTACTCATCTTTGCACTAGTCCACCTTTCTGCCAATAGTCGCTTATATCTCGCCCGAACTTCCTCCTCCCTTAGTTTATACACTTTCACCTCCCTCTTACTTGTTGTTGCCACCTTCCTCTTTTCCCATCTACCTCTTACTCTAACTGTAGCTACAACTAAATAATGATCTGATATATCAGTTGCCCCTCTATAAACATGTACATCCTGGAGCCTACCCATCAACCTTTTATCCACCAATACATAATCTAACAAACTACTTTCATTACGTGCTACATCATACCTTGTATATTTATTTATCCTCTTTTTCATAAAATATGTATTACTTATTACCAAATTTCTTTCTACACATAGCTCAATTAAAGGCTCCCCATTTACATTTACCCCTGGCACCCCAAATTTACCTACTACTCCCTCCATAACATTTTTACCCACTTTAGCATTGAAATCCCCAACCACCATTACTCTCACACTTTTTATGAATTATTATGAATTATGAATTATTTATGAATTATTTTTATAAAGATTGAAGTGAATTCCATATGTCCTAGAATACCTAAAATATAAAAATAATTTATAATTTATTTCTCTTCAAATAAAAATGTAGAAAATAAATTAAGGCAGCTTTAAAATTTTTCTTTTCTTTCTTTCAACAAACTGGCCGTATCCCACCGAGGCAGGGTGGCCCAAAAAGAAAAACGAAAGTTTCTCTATTTAAATTTAGTAATTTATACAGGAGGAGGAGTTACTAGACCCTTGCTCCCGGCATTTTAGTCACCTCTTACAACACGCATGGCTTACGGAGGAAGAATTCTGTTCCACTTTCCCATGAAGATTTAAATTTTTTACCTTATAATAAAAGAACAAGCATGGAGATGTGTGTTAAAATTGGAAGAATTAAGGGAAGAATTCAGCAGGCTTGTGTGTGTTAGACCAGAGAAAGTGGAGACAAGTGAATTTATGAAAAAAAATGTTTGTGTTTCAGATTGAGGAGCACATTGCTTTACTGCGACAAGGATACAAAAGCCAAAATCCTTTTCCGTTTCAAGCTGAGATGGAACTACTGGAAGAGACTGAACAGACTTTATGCTTTTCACCAGAATCAACATCACCAGTTATTGCTCAGGCAGTTCAGTATTGGAGCTATTCTGCTGCACACTGTTTACTCAGCTTTGTCATACATTACTGCCAAGAAGGAGTCAAACTTCTTACAGAAAATTTGTTTGTTAGAATCAGTGATGAAATGGAAAGCCTTGGCTACAAGTAAAGTATTATGTTTAATCATTGTCATAATAATACACTTGCTTTCTATGCAGTTTTCAATTTTTTTAAACGGTGTTTTACTGTTATGAATAGTATGCATCTGTAAATGAAATTAGGGAGGCTATGAAAGTTGTATCTAGAGGGAGTCTTGATCATCTAGCAAACATATATGAATGTGGGATCCGACGTGTTCAGTGTGAACGTGGTAATATCCATGAGGGACTCACCCATCTAAAGGGGAAGGTAAAGGTGCCTTGATGCTGGTGAAGATCTCTTGAACCAAGATATTGAAACTGCTCTCCAAATGTATCAGATCTGATTTATTTCACATTCTGTTGTATGAACCATGTAGATATAGCACTTCCCATGAGTATAAATTTCTTTGAGTAATTTAATTAACAGGCTTCATGGACTTGAGTTATGATTGTTGGAAAGCACAGTGCATGCACTTTCAAAGTCAGTTGTGGATTTTACCATTTCATGGATCAACATTAGAACATGTCAGAAAAGGGGCAAGTGGCTGTAAATTCCTTGTGTCCCTCTTTCCTGGTGGAAAGAACC